CTGGAGACTCCTAACCTACATAAAAAGAAGAGCTTTTCATGCTTGAGACACCGGCGTTTGTCTCGTAACCCTGAAACATCTGGTGTGTGGACTAGTGCCGGTTCTGAAGCGGTGATTCACCCTCTGAGCGTTCAGCACAAGAACAAGAGATCAAAGCGTGTGTGGAATATGTCTGGGTTTCTCCTCAGAACCTGCAATAAACCAGCTCCGTGTTTAGGAGGTAGATGAGCCCCAGCCTTGCAGTTGAGCGGAGCGTCCTTTGAAAGGAGAGGCGCCTCACGGTTGTCGATGAAGTTGGTCTTAAGCTTTCAGTAAACAGAGCAGTTCTGCCTCTCATTTGTGGTATTAATACATTCATGAATACTACCCCAGTAGCAGCCCAGGATTTCCCTGGCTCTGCGTGGACAGGCTGGTTTCGCAGCAGCATGGAAGCTCCGCATGCTCCCAGAGACGGCTCCTTAACGAACTAGCAAGTGCAGCTCCCAGCTCTCTGCTTCAGCTTGTGTCCGTGCAGTTCTTGGGAAGACATTAAACCTTTCTGGGTTTCTAGCAGCAGCTTGGCTCAGGCTCCGCAGCTGAAGTGTTCCTGCCTCTGAGGAGGCATCTGTCCTGCTCCCTCACAGCCTTCATTTCAGTTTGTCAGGGTAACTGGGACATCCCTGAGTCCCCTTTCAGATCCCTGTCTGGGTGAGAAATACGAAAAGACTTCAGTCTCTGCTGCCTCTTAGTGAGCAAGCTGTTCTTCCTTCGCCATCTGGTGTGTGCCAGGGGAGGGTGGGAGGTGGATTTTTGCTGTTACCTGTCCATGTGAGCAGAGCAGCCTCCCAGGCAACGTCCCACAAATACCGAGGAGCAACAGGGAGGCTCTTGCCATCTTGTGCTGTCACACAAACACATTCAAAATGTGTTATGGAGCGACACGTCTCTGGTCCTTAGTTACAGTTAATATCTTTTCCAAGTGTTCCCCAGCTCATTAAAGCTTTACTTAAATCCCAAGAGCTAAACATTCTCATGGCAAATTCCTTGCAACTAATGTAGTGTCTGTTCTTAATATTTTAGTGGCAAGACCTGACGAATTAGACAATGAGAGGTAGGAAACTAATTGAATCCTCTGCTGTTTGGTACTTTGCTGTAATACCTGCACGTGCTTGTACTGCTGCCTCCTTGGAGCGAGGAAGGAGGGGCTAGAAGGGAGCTGCTTAGTGGAGGGAGGATGGAGCCCTGGCCTCTCTGAAGCTGTTGTGACAAGTCCTTGACTTGCCCAGCCATTACATTATGTTTAATCTTTGCCTCCAATAATGCTTGAGCGCTGTAAAACTTCCCCTGCCGCTTCTCCCACACCTTTAAGTTAGAAGTGCTGCCCTGAAAGCAGTTCCTTTTGTATGGGCCTCTGTGGCATTTCTTGTGGAAATAACGAAGCCTTCTGAGCTTGACAGGGAATGTGTAACGAGCTTGTTCCAGGAGCTGTTACTGCATAGTTATGACCTGACTGCAGCATTAATGACGGGTTGAGAAATGCTGGGGTGTTGTCTTGCGAATGACACCGTCCTCTCTCTGGGCACACCTTCCTGCCCCCTGTGCTGCCGAGCCACGCTGGCTGCCCAGCTCTGAATCAAATCTCTTGAGCTGTTGCCAAAGGACAATTTCTTAAAATTTTTTTTTGCAAGAGGCCTGGGTACAAAAGGAATTGCTCTTCCTAACCTTCAAGCACTTGTGACTGGCAGTTAAGAGATGCTGATAGAGCTTGCCGAAGACAATGCCTCCAAAGTAACTGAACATATTAAGGTACAAGGCTGCTTGTAGACCTTGTGCTGGATTCTTGGGGGTTGTGGTTGACCAAGTAAATGCAGAAGAAGCAAATGGATTCGCTAGGTTAGCTTCTGCGCTGCCCTTTCCCTCCAGTAGCATGGAAACTAGTCTAAGCCAAAAGACTGACAGACTGGGGTTGCTGCTTCTTAGCTGCCGTGGGAGAGCGGGGACACGTTGGAACGGCGCGTGGAAGTGCTGCTTTTGGCAGGGCGGTGCGACAGGCAGGCTGCCCTCTTCTCTGGAGCTCAGGGCCTGTGGGAGAAGGAAGTGTTGAGACAAATGTTGGTTACAAGTGACTTCTGTGGTGGCATTGGTGCAGTAATGTCTCTCCCGAATTCTTCCCTTGGCTGCAGCTGGGGATATGTCCACCCGCGGCTGCTCAGCGTGCCAGAGCTCTGTCACCATTTGGCTGAAGGATGGGTGGCTGTGACCAACTTCTTAAGTAACCTGTTCATTTTCAAGAGGCAAAATCCCGGCAAGGTAAGAGTGTCCAGACCTCAGCAATAACGCGTGTGGTGTGGAGCCTCCGCTGGCATTTGGGGTGGCGTCAGCGCTGGCTGGGTGCGGTCACAGATGGGAGGTCACCACGGGAGGCCTCCCACAAGAGGGTGTCAGTGAAGTGGTGGGGAGGGGTGGAAAGCATGGACAGAGTAATCAGGTTGTGCGGGAGGGAGGAGAAAACAGGCGTCAGCTTGTTGATTGCGCTAGGGAAGGGAAATGTAGCTGCTCCTTCTGGAGGTTTCTGGCTCTTTAAGTGTCTGTCAAACTCATCTCCCTCACTGGATTTTAACAGTTTGACAGAGTATGTCAAGCTTTTTTTTTTCCCTCTGGTTTTTTTTGAGGATATGCAAAGAGGAACCTGTGATGTGGTGGTAGTGTCTTTGTCCTTTTCACCTTGAAGAGTTTGGTCTTGAGCTTCTTCCTTGCTGTCAGTGTCCCTGCTTTGGGAAGCCCCTCACGCCCCACAGCCCCCCTTGGTGCTCTGCCTGTCGCTCAGAAGCCAGATAGCTCGCATGTTTGCACGGGTCCTGGAGCGGCGTAGTGGAGCGCTAGGAAGGCTTCGCTGTCGTTAGAACTTTGAGTTAGTTTCGAATCTGCAGAGAACAAGGTGGTAAAGAACTGAGTGAATCCCCTGCTTAACCTTGGAAACTCACTGTCTCCCATATCTTCAGTTTTGCCTTCTAGTGTGTGGAGTCTTTACTTTCCTGGCTGTCCTGGGCCGGTATATCCCTGGACTCTTGCTCTCATACTTGCTGTGTAAGTAGAGCTCCGTGCCAGTACAGATTTATGAGTGAAAAGGGGCGGAGATGAGCGGGATCTGAACATCTGAAGGATGGGGCTCTTCCACTCAAAAGGAAGAAGTTTGCATGAATGGCTTTAAAATTTAAACCAATACATTCGGGCTGGAATGTGGTGGTTCTTGACCAGGACTCTAAGGTCTCTGATCCAGAGAGAACCTGGTTGAGTGCTTAGTAACTGTAGATCCGAGCACTAACAGGTTGGCCTCTCGATTTTGTTAAATTGGCGGAGGTGATGGCGCCGATCCCAACAGCCTCCTGCAGCGCTGCCCTTGGTGCTCAGGTCTCGCGTACTCTGCATGTAGTGTTCTGCTCCATAAAATGGGCGAGATGTTTGCCAAGGAGCACCCTGAACAAACTCCTAATCAGCGTTCCCACTTACCTCAGTGCTCTTCATCCTGCTGTGGCCCCTCGCTGTGTACCACAGGCTGGGGCAGCGCATGTACATGAAGCTGGAGCCAGCTCTGCAGCGGCTGGATTTCAGCGTTCGAGGCTACATGATATCAAAGCAGCGGGAGAAGCAATGTAAGTCTCTGTGCTGTGTTTCTGACCCTTCAGGCACTGATCCTTGGCACCCAAAACGGGCCACAGATCAAGCCCCCCCGATCTTGGAGCATGACAGAGCTGCGTGTGCGGCACAGCCGGCACTCCAGTGCCCTTGGCAAATACCTGCGACTGCTTCGGGAAGGAAGCAGGGCAGCTCTGCCTCCGCAGGCTTCTCCCAGTGAGCAGTTGGTGTAAGCTCCTCACCGTGCTGAGTGGCTCCGTTTCTCAGCTGCCAGAACTGCATGTTCTGTACTGCAGTTGCACTGAATAAAAACGAAGGGAAGGACTCAATGCAAGGTAGCTGCTAAATGTGTTCATCCCAGCAAAAGATTTGCAGCAGCCCAAATGAGAAATGATCACGCTGCGCAGCTCTGGAACAAAGCGTGCTGTGTTACGGTACGGCCAAGCTTGCCAGTTCAGGGCTTTTCTGCTCAGCATGAGGCTGGTCCTGTGCAGACCCGTGTCCTAGCGGCAGTAATCAGCTTTCACTCTGGTTTCTGCAGTGCGTCGCCGGTCCCTTAATCAGGAGGCTGCAGAGGACGGGAGTGACAGCGAAGAGGAGCTTGCTGCATTCTGTCCCAAGGTAACAAGATGTCTCAGAAATAGAAAAGCTCAGCTGAACAGAACAAACTTGCTGTGTTGCGTGGACGTGCTGTGCTTGGCCCCATATCCAGCATGTCGTAACTGGGTTGCAATGGAAGATTGGATGAGGATATTCTCCTTTTAGAGAGATCTCTTCCTGTTCTGTCTCTAGCTGGGCAGTAAAGTGTGCAGTGAGCCTCAGACACCAGCCTCCCATGAGGACTGGTTTTAACTGATGGCTGCTGGATCGTATGTTTTGTCTTGGGGCACAGGAATAAACACTCCAGTATTTGATGTTTTAAATTTTATCTCCTATTCCAAAGCTGGATGACTCTGTAGTTGCCAAGGAACTAACCATCTCTGACTCGGAGCACTCAGATGCTGAGGTTTCCTACACTGAAAACGGGATATTTAACCTTTCGAGGGGCCAGACTCCTCTGACAGAGGGATCTGAAGGTGAGCGGAAATGGGCAGCTCCTGGGAGGTGTGGGATGCTGAGGAGGCACCGGTGTGAGGGTTTGGAGGGAGGGAGGGCACATTGCCTTCTGTCCTCCAGGCGTAGCTCTCTGATCTCTTTCTTCCCAGCTGAGATGAGAGGCAGCTGCCTGTTGTGTCAGAGCTGAGCTTCCTTCTTGTCGCTGTAGAGCTTTAGCAGAGCGGTGACAGCTGCTCTTCAGAGGCAGATCCAGGCTGCAGGGACAGTTGTGGCACCAAGCGTGGGAGGGGGGCTCTCCTAGAAGGAGGTGTCTGGCTCAGCACCCGTGTTCCCTGCGAGTGAGCCGAGCACTGTGCAGGCATCCCGAGGAGCTGTGGGGGCGGGGGGCAAAGGAGCCTTTGGCTGGGGGGCTGATGAGGGACAGTCTGTCGCGGGGAGGTCACGGCTCAGCTCGAGTGGGCTGCGCTGCCCCTGCGCGCCGCGTGCGTAAAGCGCTTTCTCCTCTTCTAGACCTGGATGGTCACAGCGACCCAGAAGAATCTTTTGCCAGGGATCTCCCCGACTTCCCTTCCATAAACCCAGAAGCAACTGGCATCGATGATGAAGACGACACCAGCATTGGGATCCCCAGCCTGGCTTACCGCTCGCAGGCGACAGAGGATCTGCATCTCCCTTACGACCAGGAGGAACCCGGCGCGCTGCCGTCTGTGCAGAACCTGACGAACAACATCGCTGGGTTTGTCACCAGGGGGATGATCCAGCTTGCGCTGTCAGGAGCCACTCAGCCAGGCTCCTTGCGTGGTGACAATCCCCAGAGGGGCACAAAGACTTACCTGAGGGCGGCCAGCTCAGACTTGGACACTGACGCGGAAGGGGATGACTTTGAACTGCTGGATCAGTCCGAGCTGAACCAGCTGGATCCCGCGGGCTCACGGGGCCAGTAAGCGATCCCAGCGCTTCCCTCTGGTTTTCTGTTGCGCCTCGTGGAGGGGACCCTGGAAGGAGAAACCTTGCACAGATAATCTCGATCGTCTCCTGTGTGAGTATGAGTGACGTGATGGCCAGTCCTGGCTGGGAACACCACTGTGACCTGTGACTTTGTAGCCTCGCTTGGATTTTAAAATAAACTACACTGGTAATTCATAGGGAAAAGGCGTTGATGTGATAGCTCCACAATCACCCATGCGTTGCCCTGCACTGTCTGCCAGGATGCTGCTTGCTCCAGACTTCTTCACCTAAGACAATAATTCGGGTGTCTGCAGCTCGAGAGTGCTGGTCCGACCAGCTCGGCGTCGCCAAGGACGGTCCTGGAGCTGACCTTCCGGGGCTGATGTGTAACCCAGTGAACGGGATTGGTTTCTCCTCAGGCTCGGTGTCTGGGATTTAATGCCCTTCTGACTTTAAGACAACTTTTACCTGCTCCTGAAATGTGCACACAATCCAAGTCTTCTCTCCCAGCAATATCCAGCTCCAGGTGGAAACAAACCCTCGCTCCTGTTGTGGACACGGCGGCGTACGGCCGTGGCGTTTGTACTTGCGACAGCCGCCCTTCTCTGGTTCCAGCTTCCTTAGCGATGCTGTTTTGTACGAGACGCGATGGCAATAAGACATCGGCTGTGATGACTGAGTCCTGCACCACGCGTCTGCGAGTGGCAGCTGCTCTTGTCTCGCTTCCCTGCAGTAACGACTGGCGCTTGCTGACCCCCGGGGGGACGGTGTTCGGAGCGGGGAGCGGTGGGGCGGCTCTGCCCGAGGGGAAAGTCCGCA